ACTACTTTATGTCAGGAGACATGGAAGAGGCAGAATTAATAAAATTTATAAGTTTATTCTGGAAGGAATGAATACTCCTGTCAAACTGGAAGTTAGACCTCTCCAAGCAGGGTGAATTGCTCTCGGGTGCTGATGTCCATTAGGAAATGAACAATGTCTGGTTGTCTTCATATGAGCAGCCATTGATAATCATTGCTTAGATCCATTATTCAAAAGGGTTGTATTTCAATTTCATCATTTTGTTTTCATTGAATTACTTAGATGAAGTAACACAAAGTTACTTAGAATTTCACATCCAGTTCTGATTTTCTGATATAAAAGCCAGGGGCTGGGGATTTAGCTCAGCGGCACAGCGCCTGCCTGGCAAGTGCAAGGTTGTGAGTTTGATTCCCAGTACTGGAAAAAAAAAAAAAAAAGAAGAAGCTAAAATCTGATATAAAAGCCACAAACTGTTATCAGTAACTCATATTACATTTATGGTTATATGCAAGATAGTTGTACAGTGTTAGGTTTAGGGTTATTTTTGAGTAAGATGCCTAAGTGTGTGCTACCACACCCAGCTCATTTATTTTAATACTTTTAAAAATATACCTATTGCTTTCAATCCTATTCTCCAATCTTAGTTTAAAAGTGGAGGTGGCCAGGCACGGTGGCACGTACCTGTAATCCCAGCTCTCCTGGAGGTTGAGGGAGGAAGAACTGGAAGAACCGACATTTGAACACTGCTTGGGCAACTTAGTGAGACTTTGTCTCAAAACAAAAAATAAAAGGGGCATTGTTGAAATGATCCCTTCCTGTGGAGTCTACTAACCAGTGAGATTCAGATGACTCACCAGAGGTATTAACATAAGAAATGATAAAGCATTGCAACAGTTAACTGAAGAAAAGATAAATTAGAATGTCACCCCTTTGAATGAATAGAGCTAAGCAATGGTCATCAATATCTGCTCATATTATAAGACAACCAAACATTATGTACTTCCTAAAGGACATCGACACCAGCTGAGCAGTGCACATGCGCAGACAGGTCTGAATTTCAGTTCCACAGGAATCCATTCTTACAGGCCTCTTAAATTTTACTAACGCCAGCCTCTTCCGTTCTCTCGGTCTCAGGCTAGCAGCCACTTCCTGCAGTTGCTGCTGCTATGGTACTTTAGTGCTGCCTGTGTGCCTTTTTAGTTCTATAGTACCTCGTTAACAGTTCTCCCTGTTCAAATAACATGACTTTTAGTCTTCTGGCTGGCCTGTTAACTGATAAAGCACCCATGAAGTAATCTTAACAAAATACCAAGAGCCCAGATAGAATTTTTTTTTTTTGTACCAGGACTTGAACTCAGGACCTTGCGCTTGCCAGGCAGGCGCTTGTGCCACTGAGTTACATCCCCTGCCCCCAGATATAATTAACTAACTGGGAGTATAAGGAGACAAAACCACTAGACACCACCATTAGGATGTAACACCAAAATCTAAATGCTGGGAAACTACACAAAATAAACAATTACCCCTCCCTCTGCTCCTTTCTTTTTTTGCTTCCCTCTACCTCTCCCTCTTCCCTTCTCCCTCTCCTATACTAGGGATTGAATCCAGGACCTCGACACTGAATTGCACCCCCAGCCCCTTTTATTTTTTGTTCTGAGACAAAGTCTCACTAAGTCGCCCAAGCAGTGTTCAAATGTCAGCTCTTCCTCCCTCAACCTCCAAGAGAGCTGGGATTACAGGTACGTGCCACCGTGCCTGGCTGCATCCACTTTTAAACTAAGATTGGAGAATAGGATTGAAAGCAATAGGTATATTTTTAAAAGTATTAAAATAAATGAGCTGGGTGTGGTAGCACACACTTAGGCATCTTACTCAAAAATAACCCTAAACCTAACACTGTACAACTATCTTGCATACACCATAAATGTAATACTCTCCAAAGTCAACAATTCTAGTACTTTTCAAAAGTCCAAATCTCAACTGTGAACCTCTGTAAAAATAAAAAAAATTTAGATGAAAGTCAAAAACAATCCTGAGGTACAATGGCACAGGGTAAACATTAAGTCCGATAGCATGTATCCAACACCCAGGGCATATGGCTGTGAGGTGTGAGTTCCAGAGGGCTTGAGTGACCTCACCTCTGTCTCCTTGCAGGTTGCAGCTCACATGGCCTCTCCTGAGCTGGCTTCACTCACAGCCTGCAGCTTTCCTTGGCAGACGCTCCGTATTCCTGGCATCCCTACTTCCTGAGGTCTCCCCTGCACCTTTGACTTCATGCATGTCCCCATCAGTGATCATCACTGTACCCCCTGTTCTACTGACCATCTTGCCCTCCACCTCCACGCACAGCCTGTCTGCAATCTAGAGCTCTGTTTATTTATATCTGCATATTATTTAATCCATGATGGTGTAGCCATCATGGATTTGACATACCACATGAGCTATGGAAAAGTGAGATGTGAACCCAGTAATGTAAATCAAAATTATTAAATAGCAAACCATTACAAGCTGCCATTTTTTATGACTCTGGCTTCTCATTAGAATAAAGATTGTTATTGTAATAGAAGATAAAGTACAGAGGTTTAGAAGATTTTGTTAGCAAACCCAAATGCAGCTGCTTGCCAAATGACAAACCAGTTAAGTCAAAAGACAGGCTGTTAAGGCAAGCAAGGTGACTATTCAAAAAGCTGGCTGGATGAGAAAACGGAGGGCTAGGCGGACATGGTGGCACATGCATGTAATCCCAGCACTTGGGAGACTGAGGCAGGGGGATTGTTGCAAGTTTGAGACCAACCTCAGCTACAAAGTGAGCTCAAGGCCAGCCTGAACTGCATAGCGAGACCCTGCCTCAAAAAGACAAAAAAAAGGAGGGGATATAGCTCAGCAGCACAAGCACTGAGAATATAGCTCATAAAGTCCATCTTTCCAGGAAGCTGATTCAGAATCTAGGACTGGCAGTTATACACACAGTTGATGGGTATTCCTAGATTAATAGGTGCCTTCTCACAATGGGAGATGGGTAGTTACATCCTAGTGGGAGCCTTCTCAGGGTGGGTGGGCTAGAGAATGCACAGTGATCCTAATCATCTGATCATAAGGGACTTTTCTGCCAATCTCAAGAATAAAGGTGAGCAGGTATGTTGAGGCACGCCTGTAATCTCAGCCCTCAGGAGGCTGTGGCAGGAGGATTGCTGTGAGTTTGAGACCAGCATGAGCTATATAGTGAGTTCAAGGGCAGCCTGAACTACATGGTGAGACCATGTCTCAAAAAATAAAATGTCTTCAGAATTTTTTAATTTGTACCTGTACATGAAATAACTCGATTCTTGGGGCTGGGGATTTAGCTTAGTGGCACAGTGCCTGCCTGGCAAGCACGAGATCGTGAGTTTGATTCCCGAAACCGGAAAAAAAAAAAAACAAAGAAAAAAAAAAAGATTCTTTTTTTTTCCCATACCCATGTTTTAAGAATTAAAAAAAAAAGAAAAGCAAAGATAATTATTTCCCTGGGCTATTCTTGACATTGATTAGTTTGCTCACATGCTGTTCCTGAAGTATTACAGAATGGACAGGATAAAAGTATACCTGTCCCAAGGCCCTCTTGCTGATTAAGTTGAGTATAAGATGTGGTCTGAATGCGTGGCTTCAATTTGAGAATAACACATAGGAAGTTGCCTATACGTGTTTACTGAATGTTTTCCTCTGAAACTGGGCTCAGAGCATTGCCTGTTCTCCTAGTGCTACCAACTGGTATCATGATGTCAGTACAATCTGAGATTACGCCAGACCCATAGAGATGCGTATTATGACGTTAGAATGACTATAACATTAGGTAATACATATTGTGAAATAGGAAGAAAATGTTCAAATGGGAAGGGGAAGTGCCCGTGAGAGGGGAGAGGAAGGATGGGCAAAGGAAAACGAGAAAAGAAAAAAGTGGAAACAAAGCTTTTAACATTGGTAGGTAACAAAATCTTCAGCTCCATTATAATCTGAGACCACTGTCAGATGTGTGGTCCATCTTTGACTGAAACATTGTTATGTGGTACATGACTATTTTAGATATCTTGGAAAGGGCTGGGAATATAGCTCAGTGGCACAGGTGCCTGCCTAGCAACCACAGGGTCCTGAGTTCGATTCCCGGTACCCAAAACAAACAAATAAATAAATAAATATCTCTTGGAAGAGAGGAAGAAGTAAGAGCTGAAAGAAATTTGGCAAATTCTGCATTCTAAACAATGGGACCTGCAAGCCCACTTCTTATTGGAGACCCTTTCCATAGTGCCAGCTGTCAGGGACCCCTGCAGTGAGTCGCAGTCTCCTGCCGAGTGTTACGGTGCACATTGGGAAGAAAGAGCAAGAGACAAAATAAGAGGTCCAGGTAGGTGTCTGGGTGACCAGTTGTTAGGAAATAAAAAGCCGTGAGACACCCAGAACCTTGGTACTTGTTCATTACATCTGAGCCAAGGGCAGTGGGTGTTTCCGGGAACAGTAATGGCCACCAAGGTGGGCTAGGAAGAAGAACAAAGCATTTTTGCAAGGACAAGGATGAGACAGGGAGGCAGTGAGGATCAGCAAGTCTTACCTTGTCCTGTGAGTACCACAGCAGTGATTAGCCCTTGGGCTTCCCCCTGTGACCAGAAAAGGTTGGAGTTTCCAAGTTCCAATCCGGCTCAAAGAGCTGGACAAGGACAAGTGTGGATGTCCCCTAGACTCAATTTATTATTTGTGGTCCCCAACAGTTTCCCAGCTGAAGAAAGTAGCCTGTAATGAGATTGGGAGATACTGCTAGAGAATTTGAAAATTCCAGTGATTTTCAAATTCTAGTAGCTAGTGATTTGCCCATATGCTCGCAAACTTGGAGGAAGGGATATGGTGGAGTCAGTTAATATTATCTTGCGCACTGATGGTAAGCCTCTCCCCACCCTTGAGTTTAAATGTACTTGATTTTTAGACAACCTACATGATGTATTTTTCCCCTAAAAAACAATGTCTCCACTCCCAAATAAATCAGTCAAAATAAATGAAGCATTCAAGATGACATCAATCCCATTTGTCTAAAATCTTGATGTTGTATGAATGACGAGCAGCAGCCAGTTACAAGTGATAGATCCAGGGTAACCACCAAATCCATTAACATTTGTCCATTTCTAAGTCATCCCTAAAGAAAATCATAAATGGGGTTACACCGTCCTCAAAGTAGTCCAGGAGAGCAACCATGCCATCTGGACTCATATTTGCACCAAAAAAGAACTGGTAGTTTTTGTTTTTGTTTTTTGTTTTGTTTTTGTTTTTTCCGGTACCGGGAATTGAACTCACGACCTCGCACTTGCCAGGCAGGCACTGCGCCACTAAGCTAAATCTCCAGCCCCAAGAACTGGTAGCTTTTGAAAATAGCAAGGATGTGCTTGATTTGTTCTGCAGCTGCTGTCATAAACAGTTTTACTCTTTCTGATCTTCGTTCTTCAAGTTTGCTTTTAATTGGTTTCATATAATCTTTGATGTACTTCTTGTAGGCCTCTTTTGTGAAGCTGGTTTCCTGCAAGTGATGGTTCATGACAATATCAACACCAGTGACTACTGTGCTTTCACCCTCTGCACTTTCAGCAAAGGCATTTCCACCAGTGAGTGAGTCGTCAATTTTACCCTCTGTTCTACTGACCATCTTGCCTTCCACCTCCAGGCACAGCATGTCCATGATCTTCTGGATCTTAGTCTTTTTTGAGACAGGATCTCGCTATGCAGTTCAGGCTGGCCCTGAGCTCACTTTGTAGCCCAGGCTGGTCTCGAATTTACAATGATCCTCCTGCCTCAGCCTCCCGAGTGCTGGGATTACAGGTGTGCACCACCACACCCAGCTCAGGTTTGTGTAACGGCAACATGGCCTGGAATTTATTGTGCCTGGGTGCAGGCAGAGAGTGCAATGAGGCTGTCTGCCCCAAACAAAGAGAAGTGTGTTTCTTTTATAGGGATGGAGAGAAGGCAGGGGTCATTAGGCAGGAAGATCCCAATAAACATCTGTGGTCAGAGTTCTCTGGCAATCTTGCATCTCAGTGGGCAGAGTCCTCAAAGTGTCTGGTGTAAATTCTCAGGTGTCTCTAGATGTCCCCACATGTCCCAGAAGCTACAAAATTCCTTATCCTATCTCCTTTCCTGTGCTTGCTGAGATACAACTTGCTGAGTTCCCTGCAGAGAGTAGTGCCTCCACTGGTAGGCAGGCTAGGAGCTGGGAGAGTCAGGTCTAATTGGAGCCTTACAGTAGGAACCATTAATTATAATAAGTGGGAACCATTAATTATAATAAAACTTATAATAATAAGATTGCTGGAGCTCTGGTGTGGGCAGCCTTGAGAGTTAAAAGCTGGGGTGAGAGCTATCCACACTTTGAGTTTTATCTCTGGCATCACTACTAGGTTCTCCCAGTGAAATTGGAGGAAAATCTATCTTGTGCTTCTAGTAGGAGGACAGCAAAAGCAACCGACTAGAATATTTCCGGATGTTTCTGTTTTCCTTAACAATGCCTGAACTCAAGGGAAACTATTCACCAAAACCTAACAGAGGTTTTACTGAAGCCTAACAGACCTGAAGGAAGGGAAATACCCAATTTCTGCCCACCTCCCCAACCTTCAACCTGGCTTACTAAAGATGGACATAATCGTAGGACCACAGACTCCCTACTCCACTTCACTCCCACATCAATAAGGCTCCTGTATAATAACAAGAAATTACAACTTGGGCCAGGGATATAGGTCAGTGGCACAAGCACTTGCCTGGCAAGTGCAAGGTCGTGAGTTCGATTCCTAGTACCAAAAAAAAAAAAAATTATAACTCAAAGAACTGCAAGGTGACCGATGTGATTGTGCGTGCTTGTAATCCCAGCACTCAGGAGGCTGAGGCAGGAGGATCACAAATTCAAGGCCACCCTGGACTATATAGTGAGTTCAAGGCCAGCCTGGACTACATAGCAAGACCCTTTTTCAAAAAAAAAAAAAAGAACTGCAAGGCTCAGAGACTATTTAAGGAGATCTAGGGACACCAAAGACAACAAGGGGAGACCCAACAAAGACACTAGACACCACAGCTAGAGCAAATAGTAAACATAAAACCTCAAGAAGGGTACATGTAGGGATTCATTGGTTTCTTGGTATACCCAAGGGAGGAGTGGTGGCAGGGATGAGGAAAAGATAGACAAGAGACAAGAGCTGGGTCAGGTGGAGGCTAGGGTAAGAGGACCTGAACAACAACACTGGGAGTGTTTATTTATACTTTTGCAAAGTTAGTATCACTAAACACAAGGTTGCCTAGCAACTATTGACTGAAATTGTCCAGGCAGGATTTCCTTCTCAAGACTGAGGTAGCTTCACTGCTTTAGGCACTATGGCCTCATCTTGTCTCCACACATATAACCAATTTCCAGCTCCAGCCACTCCCAACAGGTGCGCTGGAATTTGAGTGGCCAGTCATAAATGAGGTGCCCAGGTCCCACTTCCACACATGACTGCAAATCAAGATGTCACACCCATCCCCACAAGCTAAACTCTCCAAACCCAGTAACACCCCAAGTCTTATTTGATGTGGACATCAGTGGGAAGTGAGTTGTTCAGATCATTTTAGAATTGTTTGCAGATACTGTCCCCAAAATTACAGAAAATGTTCATGCATTTTGTACAGGAGAAAAAGGTATTGGACCCACAACTGGCAAACCTCTTTGTTTCAAAGGATATCCTTTCCATCAAATTATTAAGAAATGTATGATTCAGGGTGAAGACTTCTCAAGTCAGAATAAAGAGGTGGAGAAAGTATTGCTGGTGAAAAGTTTAAAGGTGAAAACTTATGATAAGCACAATCAGAAAGGTTTATTAAGCATGACAAATACAGGCCACAATGCAAAGGGTACTCAATTCTTTATCACAACAGTTCCAACCCCTTATTTGGATGGGAAACTCATGGTGTTTGGCCAAGTAATTAAAGGAATAGGTGTGGCAAGATACTGGAAAATGTACAAGTAAATGGTGAAAAACCTGCCAAATTGTGCATTATTGCAGAATGTGGAAAATTGAAAGAAGGTGGCAATTGGGGAATATTTGCAAAAAATGGCTCTGGAGACATCATCCTGATTTCCCTGAAGATGAAGATGTGGATTTGAAAGATGTGAATAAAATTCTATTTATAACAGAAGACTTGAAAAACATTGGAAGTACTTTTTTCAAGTCTCAGAACTAGAAGACGGGCATTAAAAAATACAAGTTCTTAAACCAGACATGGTGGCACACACCTGTAATCCCAGCACTCAGGAGGCTGAGGCAGGAGGATCATTGCAAGTTCAAGACCTGCCTGGGCTACAAAGTGAGCTCAAGGCCAGCCTGAACTGCATAGCAAGACCCTGTCTCAAAAAGACAAAAAAAAAAAAAAAGAGCTTCAATGTACGACCTAGTAAAATATGTTTTGGCATTAATTGATCATTTCCTTGGACCTTGGGATACAGATGGTCCCTGACTTTCAACGGTTCAACTTTACAATTTTTCAGCTTTACGAAAATGTTGAATTTTGTACTTTTACAGAGCTGCCAAGCTCTGATTTTCACTGGGTCAGCTAGGATACTTTCAATTTACGAAGGGTTTATTGGGATACAGTCCTATCATAAGTGAAAGAGCTTGTATTTTGAAATTGAGAAAAATATGTTCAAGTTAGACCACATACAAAAGGTACTACTTGAGTTCATTATCTAAAAATAATAATAATAATAAAGGAAGGAAAACAAATCATACCTTTAGGGCTGTATTTTAAATATATTCTACATATTTAAAGAGTATATGTTCCATTACAAGTTCTGGATTTTTTTTTGGGGGGGGGTGTTTTTGAGACAAGGTCTCGCTGTATGGTTCAGGCTGGCCTTGAACCCACTATGTAGTCCATGAACTCATGGTGATCCTCCTGCCTCAGCCTCCCAAGTGCTTGGATTACAGGTATGTGCCATCACACCCGGTTTAAATTCTGGATTTTTTTTTTTTTTTTCTTCTTGTGCCAAGAATCAAACTCAAGACCATGCGCTTGCCAGGCAAGCACTCATGCCACTGAGCTATATCCCTGGCAAGTTCTAGATTTTAAACCACCACTATAAATGAGATGGCAATGCACACTAATATCAACTAACATAAATTTGAAAGGATGTATTAAATTCTAAAAGTTTGTAGATGTGATACAGAAGCTTTAGTAAAAATTTCCAACTCTGATTAGCTCTAGGACATCCTGTTTAGCTTTTTTCTCCATTTCTCCACTTTGCTACTATGAGAACTCAGGTAATTTACTTAATCTTCCACATTTCTGTTTCCCTATCCATAAAATAAAGATAAGAGCCAACCTCGTAGTGTCATTCAGAGGATTAAACAGATTTAAACTACAAAAAGCATTTCCTAAGCACATTATAAAGACTTAGTAAATGAGAGCTATTTTCATCACAACCTATGTGTTGCCATTGTCTTGGCACAAGCTTGTTAACTTTTTTTTAACAAAGAGACACTTTAGAAGAAAATAAAATTTTTCTATGTTCCTTCTTTTATTGCTTTAGAGCATTATTTGTCAAACCTGGCAAGGCAAGTCATAAGCTTTTCGAGTAGACTCCCATATGCTATCCGTAGAGACTGTAAGTCAGTCCATCTGAGGCAGAGCTCCTAAAATTACTTTTTTTTTTCCCTAAAATTACTTTTAAAACCTCCAGAAGTGGCTGGGGATATATCTCAGTGGCACAGCACCTGTCTGGCAAGTGCAAGGTCCTGAATTCGATTCCTGGTACCAAAAAAAAAAGCTCTAGAGGTGACTCTAATGCAGCCAACATTGGGATCACTGTGTGAAAACAACTTTCAAATCAGTTGTATTCTTTCAGGTCTATCCAGTTTGTCTGAACAGGAGCCGTAGCAATTTCATGTCACCTCTGGGTCTCAGGACCCTCATAAAAGAAAAGGAAAGGCTGGGACTGGGACTTCTGAGATCCTCTGCCATTTTGTGGTTCAGTCCATCTAATAAAGAAGCCAGGTTCAAGTAATGTCTTCACCAAACAAAAGCTAGTAAGGAAAATTTTTTAAAAAACAAATTTGTTTTTTTGTTTTTTAAATTTTTTTTTATTTTAAAGACTAAAATAAGGATAACATAATAATAGGGGGGCTTACCAAATTACAGACAAAGTGGTAGGAAATTATCAATGATTATTATTTTACATACTATTATCTACAAAATAGTTTCTCAGGAAAACAAATAGACAAATGATAGGGAGTTACAGACAAAAGAGGTAGGAGATTATCAATAGTTGTTGTACT